AATTTCTATTGATATTTTGGTGGCTGGCCAAAGGTTTATCATCTTTTAAGGTAAATGGAACACCCTCAAACTTTGAGAGTGTAGAGTTAATAAGAACCTAAAGTATAAGAGAAGAGAAGAGGGGTTTTCCAAATATAATAAATACTAAGGCTTTTATAGTCACTGAAAATATAATACTATATACTAACTAGGGCCTTTTAAAAAAATGACAAAATGTGATAGAGGAGTCATTATTCCTTATCAGATTGAGGATGATGGGGAAATAACATCATTAAATATTTGCCATTAACTCTAATGAAAAAAAAATTGAAGATGATCATTATATATTCAATCTAACTGGACAAAGTCTATTAGACTTTTATAGAACATTTGAACAAATAAAAAAAAAAACATATCTTAAACAAACAGAAAGTGAACAGAGAAAAACCACTATGGGATTTCAAGTTTTCTGACTTGGAAATAACAGTAATTACAAAAGGTAGAGATTAGAAGGCCAAGGTAGCTTCATACAACAAATATATGTTACAACAGTAAGAATTAATACATTTTATCTATTTTACTATTTCATACACTTTGGATCATCTCAGTGAGAAATTGAAAATAGAAAGGAAATATAGTACTTTAGTTTCAATCAAAATAAAGTTCACTATATACTGTAGCTTACTAACATACTATCAAATATAGTTGAATTTTAAAAATCAGAAAGCAAACGATTCTTTCATTAGTAGTATCAGAAATGATTGTCTAATGGAAAGAAATCACAATGAGAAGTCCTGGGGTCAAATACTGACACTGAACTTTACTTTGTTTTTAACTTTGAGTGGGTTACATAATCATCTAAGCCTTAGTTCTAATCTGTAAATTATGGAAGGTATTATTGTAGTGTGTTTTTTAATAACAACATATCCAATTATTTATCCTGAGCAAGTTTCTCAATTTCTTATCTTTAGTATATGGAAAATAATACCCACCTCATGTGGTGGTTGTAAGGATTAAGCAGAACAACATATGGGCTTAGCCAGTGCCCAGAACACAGAAAATAATAATAATAAAAAAAGAGCTATTACTACCTTCTTAATTTTTTCAATCTGCTTGATACGCACTGAAGTATTATCAATTGTCAGAACCTCCACAGAATCTTCTTTTTCCAACTGGTACTTATTTACTCAACAATTACTTCAGAACCTGTTAATTTCCCAAAAGAAAATAATATGTACAGTCTATTCACAAATAATTGCCTAAGAGTAATGCTCTGATTATCATGTATTTTCCTTACAAATTTAATATTTTAATACTGTTTAAGTATTATTCTTAACTCTTAATGCAACTTCAATACAAATCAGCAAATCCCAATCTAGGATGAGGGTATAAGGGAAATGAACGGGTTTCTATCAGAATCTCTGTAAGGGAGGACTTTTACTATTCTCTCAAACTATACACTTTCCTGGGCGGCGGCACTCCCACGGAGGGTTCGGATCCCATGTGGTGACCGGTTCCCGCTCACTGGCTGAGCACGGCACACTATCAGAATCTCTGTAAGGGAGGACTTTTACTATTCTCTCAAACTATACACTTTCCTGGGCTGCGGCGCTCCCACGGAGGGTTCGGATCCCATGTGGTGACCGGTTCCCGCTCACTGGCTGAGCACGGCACGGGCGCAACACCGAGGGTTGCAATCCCATTGCCGGTCCCGGGTACGGGCGCAACACCGAGGGTTGCGATCCCGTACCGGTCAGTAAAAAAAAGACAAAAAGGAAAAAAAAAACAAAAAAAACTATACACTTTCCTAGAATTTCTGATAAACTCTCTTCTAACACTACAAAATAAAAACAATCAGAGCAGTTACTATCTAAAATTTATAAGGTACAGAAGTAACACCCAATAGCTTTTCCAATATTTTCTTGAATTCTATTATAGCCAATCACTTTTAAACAATAAAGGACAAATACTTTAAAAATCTATAAGTAATAAATCAAAATTACAAACGCACATCCCTACATGATAAAGAACATATTTTGCCTAAAACTACCAGATTATTACTCTTATCTGAAGACATCCCACCACCACTACCCCAAGTTATATTCCTTCTTACTTCCTTCATGTTTCTTTCACAGCATAATTACAATAATCTGTAATTATTTTATTTACTTGTTCATTTTCTGTTTTATCAGAATGTAACTGCTATGGGCACAGAAACCATGTAAGTCTTGTTCACAGTTGTATGCCCAGACATAGCAAGGGCCTCACACATAACAGACTAAAAAAGCACTCACTGATTGAATGAATGAATGAATGGTCCAACGCAAAGCAAAAGGACCATTAAGAGTGACATCTTCAGAATGTTGTCAATATTCACCCACACACGTACACATATATAATAGGTATGTAAACACATATACTTTTTACATATGCTTGCCTGTGTGCATCCACACATGCAAAAATACAAACACAGATATAGACATATAGAAATAAATACATACGAAAAAAAATTTTGCCCAAGTTCCATTTTTCCATTATTTTTGTTTTGCTAATTATATATGTTATCTTCAAGTAGAAATTAATATTTCCTTTTAAATACTGGATTTCATATATAAACTCTTCCATTTTTTCTTACCAGAATCTATTCTGGCTTGTCTTCGGGCAGCACATTCTTCAATTCGAAGTTTAGGTATTCCTTCAGCTACAGCTTTGGCCATTCCACCCATTTCTTCAATTTCATTAATGAGCTAATAAGATAAACAGATTAATAAAAACAGAAGAGAATATGAAAATTTGAATTATACAGATTGAACTATAGTTCATATTTTGAATATACAAACTTGTAATGAGTGTTACTAAGATAATTACTAATAAAATTATAAACTAAATGCTAATGTTTTATGAAAAAAATTAAGTAAACATCAAGGGCATTAATCAGAATTTGTGTGTTTAAAGTTATTTGAAAAGACAACAGAAAAACTAACCAGTATATTCTGGAAAACACAAAACTTCTCACTCAATTCTTGGAGGAAATTAAAGATAATATCAATTCTCTAAACGTTATTTTTAGTTACACAAAGTTCTCATAGTCACAGAATAAAGACTCTTTCAGAAAAATATATTTCAAATTGCAATTTTACTTCTGATTTAGGCAGCAGAGAAATGATATAACTCCATTTTTAATAAAACCAGAAAATACCTAAATCTTCAATCACAGCTTCATATATAAGGGCCAAAAACTGATAGTGGAATGATACATGACTTGGCCGAAAGGAACAAGGTCAAATTTGATTTTCCCTGTAAAATTCAAGAAATACATATCTGTATTGGATTCTACAGAAGACAAGGGCAAGGTAGAAAGCTAAAGAGAAACCTCTTGAGAGTTTGGAACTACCCTTCTCCCATTCTGTCAGGAGAATTGAAGTTCACTGTCTGCAGAAAATAAACTAGAGAGGCAATGGACTATTAAACACCAAATACAGAAAGAGGCAAAGATAAGATGTCTTACTGAAATAAAAGCCTACATTCTGAATGATAAGACTAAAGGAAAAAGCACACAAAGAAAATAAGGACAATACAGGATGCAGAAGAAAACACCAAACAATATCCTCAGAAGAAGAAATTCTACATCAAGGAAATAAAATAGTATGACATACAATACAAGGGGAAAAATTAGAAAATAAAAATGAGCTCTTGGATATTAAAAATATGATATATGAATCTTAAAGTATTCAAGTACAAAGATAAAGATTACTAATCTCCAAGAAAACAGAACAAAAAGTCAAGAAGATGCATTATAGAAAAGATAAGAACATCAGCATATTATTTAAGGAGGTCCAGCATCTTATAACTGGGAGTTCTAGAAAGAGAAACCATAGAAAAATGGCAGGAAGAAATTATTGAAGAAATAATAACAAGCAAATTTCCCAGAGCTATGAAAATACAAAAAGGAGGGTGAGATGAAAAGACCCACCAAATGTTCAGAACAATAAAGGAAGAAAAACACACACAGAGTTACACATTGACACAAATAATAAGAGATTCTATCACTTTCAGAAAGAAAGATCCTGAATAAGAATGGCATAAGCTTTCTGACCAGAAACACTGGAAATTAGAATAAAAAGCTAGAATAAAAAAAACAGACCAATGCTTATAAATTTGTTTTTAAATTCCTGAATGGAAATAATTTCAAATATAGTCAGAATAACAGTCAAGTACAAGAATACAATAAAAACATTTTCAAACATGCAACGTTTTATATAATTCATCTCCCATGCACCATTTTTTAGGAGGTCGCTATGAGATGTGCTTCGAAATAAAGAAGAAATAGACATGGGATTCAGGAGTCAGAATTCAACAAAAAGGGAAAAAATAATCCCAGGATAATGGCAAAGAGAAGTCAAAAGACAACAATGGTCAGCAGACTTAGAGAGAAATCAGTTTAAATCAAATGAGAACATTAGAGGACTTCAAGAAGAATTATATTGATATATAATTATTTTGGTAGTAAGAGAGGAGGAAAAGAAAGAGTAAGAGTCAGGTAAAGTACTAATCTACCATACTAGAAAAGCAAAAGATAATGTCTAAAGTCTAACATCTAAAGTTGATGGAATTAGAAGAAACAGTATACGCAGGTGATTTTAAACTATGCAGATAAAAACAAACAAACAATAAAGAAGTATGTAACTTGGTCCTGGAACAGAAAAAAAAACAAGTGGAAGACAAAGGACTGCTTGCTGTTTTTCTGTATATGCTTTTTAGTGCCTGTTCAACTCTTTGTATAAAATACTTAAATACAAATACATATGTAGTTTTAAATTAAGTCTTAGTTTTGAAAACTATAAAATCAAATCTGAATTTCCCTTCTTCTGTCAAGCATTTTATAAATCTTGATATAAATCTGTAAATAATTTTATTTATAAATCAAAAAATCTATAAATCTTTATAAATTTATAAATCTTGAAAGCAAAGTTGCAAAGAGGAGAAATTGACCTTCAAGGCAGCATTATAAACATCACTTGTGAGAGATTCCATCATATATGAACCTCCCCAAGGATCAGCCACTTTGGGAATCCCAGATTCTTCTTGAATGATGATTTGAGTGTTTCTGGCAATTCGAGCACTTTTCACAGTTGGCAAACCCAAAGCTTCATCAAAAGAATTTGTGTGCAAAGACTGAGTCCCTCCAAACACTGCTGCCATTGCTTCTACTGCAGTACGGACAATGTTATTGTAAGGATCCTAAAACGTTCAGTAAAAAAACAAAACAAGAAAATATTTGGTAGATATTGCAGCTGTAAATAACAATATGATTAGGCAGTGATATTTTCCATACTGCATACTTTCTATGCCAATGTTTACATCAGGCCTCGGAATATCAAATAAACTCAGATAAATTAGTGAACAAGCCAAAATCAGAATTAAGAGTCAAGGTGTCTAGTCTGAGCTTAGGCACTAAAACATTGTCTCTTATAATCCTCTGAAATATCACATATCTGTTGTGCTTATTTTCACATTGCCTAAATACTATTTTATTAGTACATCACAAAGGTATACATCTTCTACTTAAATAATGTGATCCCTCATCTCATAATTGTCTCTTAATTATTTTGTATAACTCAAAGTATCTACCACAATGATATGCACAAAATAGGCACTCAATAAATGACTAATAAAACAGATGAACAATGGAATACAAGACAGGAAATTTGGGCTGTAGTTAGTTGCATTCTTAATTTGTGATTTTGGCAATTCATTGAACCTATCTGAACTTCAATTTCCTTATGTGTAAAAACAAGTAGGTTAAGACAAAAACTATAATTAAAGTCCTTCCAATTCTGAAAATCTGTTTCTCCACTTATAAGGATCTGAAATTATATTTCATATATACTAGTTCTCCACTTTCAAATGTATAAAAGTAATGTAATTTTAAACATATTTTAAGTGTATGAAAATAATTCAATATATAAAAAGAACGTGTATTAAAAACAAGGTCATCACTATACAATTTTCAACAGAATAAAATTAAATTAAAATAAATTACCCAACTGGTTAATAGTCTTTAAATAATCTGTTTGATTGGATGCTCTTTAAATCAAATAACTCTAATAAATAAAATATGTATATGTATAAAATCAAATTTTAATTAGGCAATTTAATGTTAAGAATTTTAACTCTTAAAATTATATAGAAGAATATTAATTAAATTACAACTTTTTCTTCTTCCTCATAATCAAACATTTTTTACTTTTAAAAAAGTAATCAAGATGATGTTGAATGTTCCTAATGCAAAGAAGTGACAAATGGTTGAGGTAATGGACATTCTAAGCACCTGATATTATCATTGCACACAGTATGAATGTATCTAATTATCATCTTAATTATTTTGTATAACTCAAAGTATCTACCACAATGATATGCACAAAATAGGCACTCAATAAATGACTAATAAAACAGATGAACAAGGGAATACAAGACGGGAAATTTGGGTTGTAGTTAGTTGCATTCTTAATTTGTGATTTTGGCAATTCATTGAACCTATCTGAACTTCAATTTCCTTATGTGTAAAAACAAGTAGGTTAAGACAAAAACTATAATTAAAGTCCTTCCAATTCTGAAAATCTGTTTCTCCACTTATAAGGATCTGAAATTATATTTCATATATACTAGTTCTCCACTTTCAAATGTATAAAAGTAATGTAATTTTAAACATATTTTAAATGTATGAAAATAATTCAATATATAAAAAGAACGTGTATTAAAAACAAGGTCATCACTATACAATTTTCAACAGAATAAAATTAAATTAAAATAAATTACCCAACTGGTTAATAGTCTTTAAATAATCTGTTTGATTGGATGCTCTTTAAATCAAATAACTCTAATAAATAAAATATGTATATGTATAAAATCAAATTTTAATTAGGCAATTTAATGTTAAGAATTTTAACTCTTAAAATTATATAGAAGAATATTAATTAAATTACAACTTTTTCTTCTTCCTCATAATCAAACATTTTTTACTTTTAAAAAAGTAATCAAGATGATGTTGAATGTTCCTAATGCAAAGAAGTGACAAATGGTTGAGGTAATGGACATTCTAAGCACCTGATATTATCATTGCACACAGTATGAATGTATCTAATTATCATATTGTACTCCATAAATATATACAATTATCATGGGTCAGTTAAGAAATAAAACTAAAAAGAGGAAAAAAAAGAGATATACAGAATAGAATAGTGATTATCAGAGGCAGGGAAAGTGGGTGGGGGGTGAGTCGGGGAAAGCTTGGTAGACAGATAGAAAGTTACAAAGTTACAATTGGATAGGAAGAATAAGTTCTGGTGTCCTAGGGTGATAATAGGTAACAATATTGTATTGTGTATTTCAAGAAAGCCAGTAAAGAGGATATTGAATGTTATAACCACAAAGAAATGACAAATGTTTAGGTGACAGATATGCCAAGTATTCTGATCATATCATTATACAACATATGCATGTTTTGGAACAACAAATTGTACCCCATAAACACATAAAATGAAAAAAAATTTTTAAAAATAACTCATACAAGAAAAAACTAAATAAAGATAAAAGTAAAACAACACTACATGTAAACTAAGATTTTTTTCTTTTTTTTTTTTTTGTGAGGCCCCACTTTCACGGTCTGTATTCCCACTGAAAATCAAGATCAGGTGAGCTTTTGTCCCTCTGCTTCAGGAGAGGTTTCTGTCCTCCCTGAGCTCACCTTAGGTTAACTAAGATTTAAATGATTTTATGTTGTCAACCACTAGAGGGAGCCAATTTTATTTATTTATTATAGGTGTATAAATACAAACCTAAATCTGCCTTATGCTTCAGAATATTTATGATTTTCAAATATTAGCAATTTATGCTCTTACATCTATTTCCTGACTTCCTGTTGATTGGAATAAAATATATGACTTTATTAAAATTCTATATTTTAAATTATATACACACCTGTTCAGTAAGTGACCATCCTGATGTCTGACAATGTGCTCTTAGAAGAAGAGATTTAGAGTTTTTAGGCTGAAACATTTGCTCTACTAAGTGAGCCCAGAGTCTTCTACCAGCTCTCATCTTTGCTATTTCCATGTAGAAGTTCATCCCAATTCCCCAGAAGAAAGACAACCTAAAATAGAGATGTTAAGACCAGAACTGGATTAAATTTAAAAATATAAAAGAGAAAATAATTAATTTTAATTGTATCATACACTAGAAAATCAATTCCAGATTTTAATTTCAAACTTAACTTGAATTAAAATCAATGCACATATATTTACGAAGCTTTAAACTAACACACAGAAGTATAAAAGTACACTTTCATGCATGCAAAAGAAATAGCTCTGATTATTTGCTTTAAGTAACAATTATTCCCTTTGCAATTGATTTTTCTCTAGGGAAGAATCTCCTCTTGTGTCTTTAATTAAAGCTTCACTTCTAAAAATAAAATATTTTAGGATTTTAGGAATACCCATTATGCAAGGCAGGGGTACCCTACAAAGGGAAAAAAAAACAAAAACAATAAACTTAGTTTATATGGATAGTGAGAAAGGTTTTCTTTTAAAAGAATGATTGTGGACTGGCCGGTTAGCTCAGCTGGTTAAAGCACAGTGTTATAACACCAAGGTCAAGAGTTTGGATCCCCATACTGGCCAGCCACCAAAAAAAAAAAAAAAAAAAAAAAAAAAAAT